CATTTGCTTTAGCTTCTCTACGCTGGAGAGCAAGTTTCAGAGTCTCTTCTGACATCCATCTTGATCTTTTCCTTCTTTCTTGTCTTCTTAATGACATTTTGCTCTCTTCATGTATGATGCTCTTGATGTCATCCCACAACTCTTCTGGTCTTAATACCTATAGCTATGCCTTAAGGAGCTCTGGTGGTACCTTAAGGGCTGCTAATCTCAAGGCCAAACCCACCAGCCCCTCCATGGGAGAAAAAATGGTGCTGTATCCTCCCATCAAAGATTTACAGTCTCAAAAACCCTATATAGGGTTGTTGTGACTCTGAATCAACTCAATGGCTGTGGGTTTGGATTGGATTTTCATGTGTGTGTGATAACTATGTAGTTTATCTTGTTGTTAAGGGCTGTCGAGTTGGTGTTGCCTTATAGTGACTCTATATAGGGTTTCTGAGGAGTGGCTGGTGGGTTTGAACAACTGACCTTTGGTTAGCAGTCCAGTGCTTATCCTATAGCACATATAATTGTTTTTAGGTGATCAGGTTCACTGAAATAGTTGAAGCTTATTCTTTTGGAAAACAGTAGATTAATGAACATGTCCTGTTTCTGTGAATTCTTATCATTGTGGCTCACTGGTCTTGCGATTATCTTAGCAAGGTTTTTGGATTTTATTCTTTATAATGTTTGAGCACAGACTATGCTCTTATAAGATTTATGTATTCTGATATAATCATCAACCAACCAAAAATCTTTCTTCACAGTTCAACCCTCACAATTAGTACTATGCTTGACACCACTGCTGAGGCCACTGTGTCTATCTATCTCCCTGAGGATCTTCCTCTTTCTTGATGATGTCCTTCCCCCAGGACTGCTACCTCTTGATAGTAGGTCCAAAGTACATAAGACCAAGTCTTGCAAGAAGCATTCTGATTGTATTTCTTCCTAGACATAATTGTTCATTCTTCTGACAATCCATGGTATATTCAATGTTCTTCATCAGTCTCTACTGCTTGAGGTTGTTACTCAGTCCAGTACTCCCCAACAGACTTGTTGCCCCAGGAGTGGGCTGAAAGAAGCAGGCCAGCTGCCAGGCCTATCAACCTCAATCTCAGTGAGATAATCAACCACAAACAAGGATGGAAGAAAAACTCATGCCTCACCTGCAAATCTAATCTGTCCTTGTCACTAACCTTTGCTGGCCTTGGAACTCCCTCCCACTGCTGTAGAGTCAATCCCGACTCATAGTAACCCTGTTTAAGATTCCCAAGGCTGTAAATCTTTATGGAAGGAGCTCTGGTAGTGTAGCTGTTATGAGTCGGGCTGCTAGCCTCACGGTCAGCTGTTTGAAACTATTGGCTGCTCTGCGGGAAATAGGTTTTCTGCTCCTGTAAAGATGTTACAGCCTCGAAAACCCTATGCAGGATCCCTGTGAGTCAGAACCCATTCCACAACAGCATCACCACCACCACCACCAAATCTTTATGTGGACAGAAAGCCTCATCATTCTCTTGAGGAGCGGCTGGTGGATTTGAATTGCAGAAATTGTGATTGAATTAGCAATCCAGTGCTTAACCTATAGTGTCTTTTTTTTTTTTTTTAACTTTTTATTGTGAATTGGGTGAAAGATTACAGACAAGATCATCAACTCTGCATTCATCAAACTATACACCTTGTTTCGTGTCAATAATTACAATCTCTTCCTTGCAACAACATTTATCCCACTCCCTCCCTGTGGCTCCCCATTTACATCTTATATTTCACAAATGAACAAGGCAAAAATATTTGATGTACACTTACAAAACAAAAAAATATATAATCATTTAAATGTCCAAAGGGCACATTCCACCAGTCAGCCTCCTGCCCTCAGGTACACAGCCACTGTTTCTGCTGTCGCTGCTTTTTTAGGTAGGAAACCCACACTCCACTCATGCTCTTCCTTCTTGATGGTTCTGGGATTCTCTGCTCCTGGAATGACAGATTACCTACTCACTACTTTTAGTTACATAGATTCTATAATTACAGTTGTGACAGTAACACTTATTCACAAACTGAGTCATAAAATTGTATCACTGGCATCCCTCATCCCCTTTCACCAGATGCATCTGGGAAAGAGGGAAACTATTCAGTGGAAATTCTACCTTAACCCCCTCATTTTGCAACTAAGTACACTAATGGAAGCTTGTAAAGCAGCCACTTTGTGCCTTTGTAGTCCCCTTCACCCCCCATTCTTGATGCTGTTGTTGTTGTTACGTGCCGTTGAGTCAATTCCAACCCATAGCAACCCTGTATTTGGTTTCCAAGGAGCAGCTGGTTAGCTTGAACCACCGAGCTTGCAGTTCAAACGGCTTTGCTGTCTGGTCCATTAGCTCACAGTGCCACACCAGGAGTCCCCATTTTTGATAGCCAGAGTCTAAATTTCTTGTTCCTATCAACCCAGTACACAGAAAACAAGGTTGCTCCTTGATATCAAGAATCCAAGAAGGATATATATTAAATTAATATTTGCACACTGAACATGTTAAGTTTGAGATGCTATTGGAAACCCCAGATGGTGATGTATGGCAGTCAACCAGATAAATGGGTTTGGCACCCACAGGATAGTCAACTTTGATGCCCTTTTAGCTCCAACCAGGTTGCCTCCTTCCAGTTCCTTGAATAGACCCTGTCTGTTTTTTCTTTTTAATGTTTTTTGTGAATTCTGTGATAGTTTTCATGGGAGAACATTAGTTTTACATTCATCCTATCGTATATCATTTCATTGCCATGGTTACAATCCCCTCCATGCATCATCAAACAACCAAAGGGTATACCCTGCAAGCCTGTTGCCCGGTCGTCAGCACACAGCCCCTCTCCCTCTCTGGTCTAAAGTCCCCAGCTGCTCTATCTCTCCACGTCATCGTCTCTGCCTCCATCTCTGGCATTACTGTTTCTCTGGGTAGGGTCCCACTCTCCGCTCTTCTCCCTTGATGGTCCCAGGGACCTCTGCTCCTAGACTACAAAGTTAATCACTCCCCTTCTTTTGCTACAAAATGTCTACCTTTACATATTCAACCCTCACAATCAGTCCTGATAACAATTTTTCACTATTGTATCACCAAAGACTTATCTGCACTTCCTTTCATTAGCCCCACCTAGACAGATTGGACACTATTCAGTGCAGATTCTACCTTCCTCCACGCCCTCTGGATCTAGGTTCCCTCTTGAAAGCTTGGAAACCAGTCACTTCTTGCCTTTGTAGCCCCCCCAACTTTGGGTAGCCAATGTCCAAGTTGCCATCCCTGGCTACTCTGTGTGTGGAGGGAGTGGGAATGACCCTTGCTGTAAAGACTTGTTCCCTTTTTTGAGCTACTGATCCATAGGTGTAGTCAAGTTCATCAAATTGTATCAGATTACTCTTTTTTTTCTTCTTTCTTCTTCTGGTTGAGCTGTGATCATCATTGAAGCCAGGTCAAGTGGGTATTATCTGCAAGTGTGGGTGTTCTTATGCATATGCCCTCTCTTCTTATCAGCTAGATGCTTCACTCTTCACTCTAGTCCTCTGTGGCTATGTCACTGACTCTGGGCCCAAGAGTCCCCAGGTCTTGCCACTCTGCTGGCCAACCAAGTCTCCACCTAGGTTCACACGAGTCTATTGAATGTTGTAGGGCATAGCTCACAGCTTCATTGCTGTTTTCCCCTCACTTCCCCTTATCGGTGGCGAACGTGGTCACCAATCAGAGCGTGTATTCCCACTGAGTCTTAGTCTTGGAAGGGGGTTTGCTCTGAGGGGACCCGACCACTTGCCTTGATGTCTCCTGGGCAAGCAACTTGCTTGTCCTTGTACTAATCAGTCAGTCAGCTTATATTGTTTTGTATTTTTCCTGTCAGTCTTTCAAGAAGTATCTTCTGTTTTTCTAGCTGCTCCAGGCTGGTCTGCCTATATAGTGTCTTTAGAAGTCCTTCATGGAACTCCCTAGGGCAGGGCAAAAAGCCCTAGGATCAAAAGAGGAAGGGATGTTACAGACTGCTCAACTCAATTGTTTCCTTTTACATACAGGAGATAACACTTGTTTTAGGTCTCCAGCAAGATCCCAAGTCCCCTGACTTCCAGGCAGGGGCCAACAGATGGTGCTGAAAGGTTCAGCCCAACACTCTCTGCTGCCTCTTACTGTGCTCAAAGGTCATCTTGGGGGTGGTGGCAGGATTTTCTGCTTGACCTGTTAAAAGCTTGGGAGGGTAAGGGCAGAAGGAAGCGGAAGGGAGGAGGGACCTCAGATGCCACCTCCTCTACTGAGACATCCCAGGGCTGCAGGAGAACCGAGTGTCACTGGGGGCTCCTGCCTCCCACCCAATCCCAACTGCAGGAGACCTTGATTCCTAAGGAGGTAGGAGGCATTCTCTAGAGACGGGCATCATGGCCTGCAGGAAGGGGTGCTCGGATAATCAGACCAAGTGGACACTTGTCAGCATTGTCAGTGTGGCTCTGGTGCTCACCATTGGGATGGTCCTGGGCTTCACCATGCAGCAGCCGACGCGGCCAGGTAGGAGTTGTTCATTCCTCAGACCCATAAGACTTCTTCCCCAGTCACAGTTCTGATGGTCTCTCTCTCTCCTGTTCTTCTTCCTCACTGATACTCATTCCCCACCAGCAGCTCCATTTGTCTCTCCATTGCCCAACCTTATCAAGACTTCACCCCTTGCTTTTCTTTCTTCTCCTTCCACTGGCTTTTCTTTCTTCTCCTTCCCCTGCAGCCCACCAAATCTTGAGCTTCACCACACACCTCTGTCCTTGGATGGATCCTGGGCACCCCAAACTCTGCACACCGCAACCGTGAGCCAACTCATCCTTCTCAGAGAAGGGATACCACTCAGACAGGGGCCTGGGTGTCACCTCAAACCCCCCATCATCTCTGTCTCTCTCTTACTATCCCCTACACACCACCCCCAACAGATCCCTAATGATGTCATGGGTAAGTGCTCGGGTGTTAACCAGAAGGTCAGCAGTTTGCACCTCCCTCCTCCTCCCAAGGTACTCTGAAGGAGAAAGCTAAGACAGTTTGCTTCCGTAAAGATTTAAGTCTTGGAAAGTCTGTAGGGCAATTCTACTCTGTCACATCAGGTGCTATCTATCCTCAAAGGCCCTGCCCCATCAACTCAGGGGCAACTCTTTTCATGAAGACCCTCTTCTTCTCCCTGCCTGCTGTCTCCAGCCCATGCTTACTCTGTACACTGCCCACTGGATCTCAGTGACACACATTCAAAGCCATTTGCAACCTGATCACAAGCCTCTCTTCCAGTTTAGCCCCATTCTCTAAGTTCCACATACCCCAGACCAGTGGCTGTTCCTTTAAGCAACCACATTCTTCCCTACCCCTAAGCCTTTGCTTATGCTGTTCTTGCTGCCTGGAATAATCCAGCCCCTCTTTCTGTCATGTTTACATGAACACTTTAAAGCCCCCCTACAATCTTTCCTTGTCTGAACAGTCCCTTTCTTGGCTGCCCCAGCCCAGAAAGCCCTAGGAGCTCACCACTTCCTTCTCTTGAAACACTGACACCAGTGGAGATTCATTGTCTCTGCTAGTTTACATGCTGGGCACCCAGGGAGAGTCTGTGGGGTAAACGGACAGGGATCCTGAGGCTGGAACTGTCACAAACATCCCCGGGGCCTTCATTCCAGACTGTAAACCAGATGCGGCCTGCCGTCCCGACGCAGACATGCTGGACTACCTTGTGAGCCTGGGACAGATCAGCCACCGGGATGGCCTGCTGGTCACCTGGTATCATGCTGCCAACAGCCAGGCAGACATGGGGGCTGCCTTGAGTGGTAAGTCCAACTACCAAGACAGGGACAGGCAGGGTGTGGTGGAGATAGAGGGAGACAGGAGATAAAGATAAGACTATCTATAGTCATAAAGGAGCTCTGGTAGCGTAGTGGTTATGAATAGGGCTGTGAACCTCAAGGTCAGCAGTTCGAAACTACCAGCCGTTCTGTGGGAGAAAGGTGAGGCTTTCTGCTCCCGTACAGGGTCGCTGAGTCGGAACCGACCCCATGGCAGATAGCCACCAGCCATCATAGTCATAAGGAACTTCCCATGGGGTGGCCTTGTTGTTATTGTCTTATGTGGTCAATCCACGTCAGAGTAGAATTGCCCTATAGGGTTTCCTAGGCTGTAATCTTTGCAGAAGCAGACTGCCACATCTTTCTCCCTTAGAGCAGTTGGTGGGTTTGAACTCCCACCTTTTCAATTAGCAGTGGCCAGTGCACTGTGGGTTAACACGCCAGACTGCAAAGCCATTTGAACTGCAAGGTCGGCAGTTCAAGTTACCAGCAGCTCCTCAGAAACCCTATACAGGGTCGCTATGGGTCGGAAGCAACTCGATGGCACTTAACAACAACAACAAGTATACTTAACCATTGTGCCACCAAGGTCCCCTGTGGGATGTCATTATGATGGATGATTCTCATGTTCTTTTCATAGTCCTCACGAGGAATTGGAGCTCAGAGGTTAAGTGACTAGCTCAAGATTGAGCAGCTACTTAGCTCTGGGCCCAAGATTAGAACCAAGATGTCCAATTCCAAAGTCATTATTGCATTGGCCTCCCTTCCCAGAATCTGTCAGGTGACGATGCTCCCTGCTAAGGAGGCATTTTGCCCTCAAAGCCTAAGGTAACCAGAAGATCTGAGTCTGAAACCCCATGCTACCAAAACTGAACAGTGAACAGCTCAGCAAAATGTATGACCACTCTGAGACTCAGATTCAAAATTGTAGCATCCACTTGTCAGCAAACACTCACCGTGAAGGGCACACTCCAAAGATTGTACTGGCTTCTGTAATGGCCCTACAACCCATCCTACAGAAGCAAAGCTGAGGCTTAGAGAAGTTACGTGACACTGCTTGGTACTGAGCTGTCTGTATCAAGCCCACACTTAGAAACCACATTACGTTCAATCTCTAGTGAAAGAGGGGTAAACAGTCTTTCCATCAGGGTTGCTGTGATGCTCATACAGATAACTATGAAAGATGAATGGAAAAGTTGTCAAACTTGAGCTTGCACCAGCAAGACACAGATGGCAGTCCCTAACCCTGGTGGTTCTGGGGTGGGCTAGAGAATTTGCATTTCTAACAAGTTCCCAATTGATGCTGAGGCTACTGGCCTTAGGACTACACTTGTGCTCTGCTCAAACACAATCCCCTCAATTTCAGGTGAGAAATTGGGTCGTGATTGAGAGAGGATCTTGCCCAAGGTTACACTGTAGGTATGAAGCAGATCAAGGTCTAGGTGTCAGGTTCCTGGCCCTTATTCCCACAGACAGAAACCCATGAGTAAGTGCCTAGGAAAGGTTTGCTGAATGAATGAAGGACTAACAGAGTTGTTCTTGGAGGAGCACACTTGGTGCTCAGCAGAAGAGAGGCGGACCTGCTGCTCAAGCATTTCCTCTGATTGGGAGGCTAGTTGGCCAACTTTGGTCCTAAGGACAGAGCCTTGTTCCCTTAGGGAATCAGACCAGACAGAGAGGACACTTATCTGGGGAGCTAATGCCTGAGATCTCAACACCCCAGGATCACCATGAGATCAGCCCTAGGGCAGCAGAGGAACAACTGGGGTCCCACCAAGTTGGGACTTTGGCCAGGAAGAAAACTGAGGGTCCCATCCCCAGCTGGACAGTGCCCAACAGCAGTAACTAGAGAGAGTCACCCCTTAGCCAAGCTCCAGGGCATCTGAGGACCCCACACCTACTGATCGGAACCTGCATGCTGAACCTGGTCCCTGGTGTGTACATTAAAGTTTGAGAGACTGGAGTAGCTGGAATCTAGAGAATGAGAAAGAGACAAAAAAGGAGGAGACTGGAAATGTTGTCAGGGCCTGATTGCAGGATGACCATGAAAGGAGTTTGGAGTTCATTCTCAGGGCAATGGGGATTTTCGGTTTGTTTGTTTTTTAACAGGAGGGTGTATAGAGGATGAAATTGGAGGGACTCAGAACAGGTAAGTAAGAACGGTCAGAGTGGAAACCATGTGAGTGGAAAAGGTCCCTTCCAATGTGGAGGGATCCTGGTGTGGCGCTGCCAACCACAAGGTCAGTGGTTCAAACCCACCTTGGAAGCCCTAAACAGGATCACTATGAGTCAGAACCAACTTGACAATACTCAACAACGATAGTGTCAACACTGCTGTTTGTAATATTATATAACCCTTCTTGACTCTCCCGAGGCTGTAAATCCTTACAGGAACAGACAGATTCATCCCTCGGAGCAGTTGGTGGGCTTGGACTGCAGACCTTGTTGTTAGCAGCCTAGTGCCTAACCCACAGTGCCTCCAGGGCTCCTACCGAGTATTTCTAGCATGATCTTCCACTGTCTGCTTCCACCAGCGAGCGCTTAGCTCCTCACTAGACTGCCCACTGATTGAAGTAAGTGCACAAACTAAAAAGAGAAAAAAACAATGTTCCATGCTGGTCCAGGTGCAGTGAGATAGGCAATCTCCTGCACTTCAGGTAGGAACATGAATTGGAACAACTTTTACAGAAAGTCATTTGATAAAACCTGTTGTCTTCAAGTCACTTCTGACTCATGGCAGTAGTGTATATTATAGAGTTTAACTGCTCCACAGGGTAATTGTTATGAATGAGGCCTTTCTATGGTGTCACTGGGTGGGTTCAGACCACCAACCCTTTGGTTAATAGTCAAATGCAACCCATTTGCACTAACCAGGGGACTTTTTGATAACATTAATAAGATTTGGTAATATGGACTTTAAAATGACCCTATGCTGTCCTGACTCAATTCCACAAGTAAGGAACAGAAGTAATCAGAATCAAACATAAATCATTGCTTATTGTCAAGTGTCATCTTCTGACTAATCGTGACCCTATCTAGGGTTTCTTAGGAGCAACTGGTGATTTTGAACCACCAACTTTGCGGTTAGCATCCCAGTGCTTATCTTACCGCACCATACCAGGGCTCCTCACTGTCTAGGAGTAGCAAAAAAAAAAAAAAAAATGAAGAAACTACCAAAATGCCTCAGGAATGGGGAGTGGTCAGCTCAACCACAGGGAAGGGACTCAGCAATGGCTTTAATCATCATGTTTGTTTTTTTTTTTTTTAATGAGACAGATGAAGGACTGTAGAAATGTGTCAGAGTGTCAGAAGAAAAAAGATATAAAATTATAAACACAGTGTGGTCTGTCGTGTAAAACTACATAGACAAAAGATAGAAAAGAACGCATTAATACAAGAATGGTGACTGAGATACAGGCACATTTTTAAATCTTTTTTTTATGGTATTTTCCAAATGTTGTATGATAAGCATGTAATCCTTTTATGATAAGAAAATTTAATGTCAGAAAATGGACCTGACGTGAGTTTGGCTCCCACATAGGTAATGCCATGGTCCTAGAGGCGGATGTCACAGTGGAAGGGCTCAACACAGTCAACGAATCGGAGGTCCCCATCATGGCACACCCCCCAGCCATCTACAGCGACAACACACTGCAGCAGTGGTTGGAGACTGTGCTGTCCACTTCCCAGAAGGGTAAGAGCCCCTCTGAAGCCCAGCACCCCAGGCCCTCTGGTTCTCAGCAGCAGTCCAGGGATCCCACCACTAGGAGTTGAGTCTAGTTCTCACCTTGACTTGCTCACTGCCTTGGCTTTTCCACCCCAAGTCCAGGAAGAATTGGTGAGGCATGGATGCACAGGTGACAAGTGGATATGAAGGTGCAAGGTAAACCTCAAAGTGCCAAACATGTTCCTGGTGTTCCCCCCACACTGGCGTCCTGCCTTCAACCACCCTCAACCACCACCACCAGCACACACACACATACACACACACAATATACACCTGAGTCATGTTTCCAAAGTGCCAATTTTATTTGCCACACTCTCCTGCCCTGACCCTCCATGGTTCCTCATTGCCTCAGGACAAAGCAGTATTGCTTTGACCAACTTCTTGAAATCCCTGTATAATGTCCCAACCTTATCTCCTACCACTGCCTTCATCCCCCTCACCTTACTACCCTGAAAAGGACATACATGTGCCCACCTCCGGGTCTTTGTTCATGTTGGGTCCTTCCTCTAACTAGACTGCCCTTCCCTATTAAGAGGCACTGTCCTCAATTCAAATGACCTTCCTACAAGGCTTAGGGAGCTCTGAGCCTGCCTTGTCCAGAAACTCAGCCCCTTTTCATCAGAGCTCTCCACTACACCAGCCCCACTAAGACCCAGGTTCTTAGCTGGCCTCTGCTTCCTCACCTCTGAGGATGGGAACACACACCCTCTAGAGGTGGGCCCATTTGAAAGCCCTACCTCACACCCAGCAGGAATATGCTACCTGGCCCCCAGCCCCCATGCACAGGTACACATATACCTGTTGTCTCTGCCCCAGGTAGTGACAACTCCTCAGCCCCTTCCTCCTTAGCACCAGGGGGCACTGACCAAGCCCTCACCTTCCTCCTCACAGGCATCAAACTGGACTTCAAGAGCCTCAAGGCTGTGGGCCCCTCCCTGGACCTTCTGCGGCGGCACACAGAGAATGGGAGAGTCCGGAGGCCTGTGTGGATCAATGCTGATATCCTGAGGGGCCCTAACGTGCCCATATCAGTCCACGTCAATGCCACAGGGTCAGTGTCCCATTCTTGTTCCCAGCTGTGTCCTCATCCTTCAACATCTGCCACAGGATGTGCTCGGGGGACCTTTGCTGAGTCTGCCTCCAGTCACACCAATAGTCTCAGAGCCTTTGCACAGGCTGCTCCCTCAGCTTGGAATGCCTTGCCCCCATTTTCCAATGAACCTCTGCTCAGTTATTGTTATAAAGTACTCTTGAGTCAGTTCTGACTCACAGCAATCCCGGATGGGGTTTCCAAGGAGTGGCTGATAGGTTTGAACCACCGACCTTGCGATTACCCTATGGCACGCCCCCAAGAGTCATTGCCTTTCTGAAAATGTCCCTGACATCCCAAGTTTCATAGCGGCTTCTCTCCAGGTCCCTCGGCCCCCACAAGTCCTTATAACACAACCCTCATTCAGTAGGTGGACTCTGTCAGTCTCCTCGAAGGCACACAGGTCCAGTGACCAACACAATGCTTGACTTGCTCAAAAAGTCTAGAATGTTGATTCCCTCCTTGTTGTTGTTGTTAAGTGCTGTCAAGTCGGTTTTGACTCACAGTGACCCTGTATATAGGGTTTCTGAGGAGTGGCTAGTAGGTTTGTGGTTAGCAGTCCAGTGTTATCCTACAGTGCACTAGGACTCCCATTCCCTCCCTCTCCCCTGGAGATGCCAGCACTGCCACAACCAGAACAGGATGCATAGTATTCTCTCGATTGCTTATAAGGAAGGTCCATCCAAAAACAGAATATATCGGGCTTGATACATAGCCATACTGCCAGGTTGTTGTTGTTGTTGTTAAGTGCCTCGAGTCGGAGCCGACCCATAGCGACCCTGTACAGGGTTTCCGAGGGTGTAAATCCTTACGGCAGTAGAAAGCCTCATCTTTCTCCCAGAGCGGCTGGTAGTTTCGAACCACTGACCTTAAGGTTCGCAGCCCGATTCGTAACCACTACGCTACCAGAGCTCCTTATACTACCAGGTTAGGGGCATATTTTTTCTCCCCATTTTACAGATGAGAAAGCTGACAGTAGTTGTGGCTCAATTTGTTGAATATTTATTGTATGTCCCATTTAATTTGTACAATGAGAAGGAGGTAGGTGTATTTATCTTTATTTTACTGATACAGGAGTTATCTCAGAAATTAAAAAGTCCAGTGCCTAAGTCCAGTAAAGAACCTCTGGGTGGGTCAAATGGTTAAGTGTTAGACTATTAGCCTAAAGGTTCGTGGTTCAAACCCACTCAGATCTCGGAAGGCCTGGCAACCTGAAAACCCTATGGAGCGTTTCAATCCTGCACATGTGGGGTCGCCATGAGTCAGAAATGATACCAGTCTAATTAGTGATGGAGCAAAGATTCAAAAACAGGCCTTTCTGATTCTAAGTCCCATGTTTTTTACCATCCATCAACCCAGACAGCAGTCAGTCCACTCTATATTTACTATGCTTCTCAAACTGAGGTTCATTCGGAATGCAGCAGTTTGAAAACATGTAGCCAACAGCCCAAGATAAATATGGCTTCTCGTCCTGAGGTGCTAAATTTACTTAGGGATAAGGTAACATTACTTTTCTAGTAAAATTTGCATAAGGGAAAAATTGGAATGAAATGAAAATATGAAACCTCAGAGACTCTCAAAGCTGTCAGAGCCCAGCTCTGCTCATCCTGGAGCCATGAGCTCATTCTCCTTCATCCACAGGAAATGTTTGAGGATCCCTGCCCTGTCTGAAGGCACACCATCGTTGAGCAACTTACCCAAGGTCGTAGAGTCAGGGCCTGAACCCAGGCCTCCTTGACTCCAAAGGTCCAACCTTGGTGTGGAACCGTGAACAAGCCATTTGTGTTCCAGGCCTCTCTGAGATCCCACTGCCAGGGTGGAAGCCCAAGAGGGCCAGCACAGCCCGGAATGACTATACTTCTGATTCCCTGCAGGTTCCTGGCTATGGTTCAGGAGAAATATCCTGAGGCCACCCTTTCTCCTGGCTGGACCACGCTTTACCTGGCCCTGGGCCCCAACAGGACGTACACGCGGGCCATGGTAGAGGAGATGCAGGAGCTGGTGGGAGCAATGCCGCAAAGGATCACCTTCCCCGTGAGGGCAGTCATGGTGCGGGCCGCCTGGCCCCACTTCAGCTGGCTGTTGGGCCAATCTGAGAGGTGAAAACTCTAGACCTTAGCCCCCAGGAATATCCCAAGTGCTCATGGTCTAATTCCCACTGGTGCTCACACCCTCTAAACTTTTTCCTTGTATGCCTCTGGTGATGGGCTGCTTGCCACCTCCTGAGACAGCCCTTGCATTGGTGGTAATTCTGCTTGTTGGGTACTGCTTACACTGAGGCTCAGTTTGCCTCTGCAGCTTCCTCCTGTGGGAGCCAGCTGTAGTCCTGAGGCTATAGATTGTGCTTGCAGTCTGCCTAGGATAGCCCTGTAGAGACTGGGGACATCCTCAGCCAGTCGGCTTCAAGCTGCCCAGCCCCAGCGTCCTCAAAGACGCCCCACAGGAGTCCCAAGGCTGCCTCCTCCCCTTCTGTCCTTGTCCCTTTCCAAGACAGGACACAGTGAGGATAGGACACGCCAACCTCCCTCTGTCTGGCCTCTGTTATCATTGTTCCTGAATCCCCTCTAGCTGCTTCTGGCCCTGGAAGGGGGTGGTCTCAGGGAGAGGTGACTTGTCAAGCCTGGACAGCAATTCCAAATGCAAAGGGAATTGGGCCCAGGCAGGTGGCTGAGGCAGTTCTTGGGGCCCCAGGTACAGCCTGACGCTGTGGCAGAGCTCTTCGGACCCTGTATCAGTAGACGATCTCCTCTACGTCCGGGACAACAGTGCCACCCACCAGATCTACTATGACCTCTTCGAGCCTGTTCTGTCCCAGTTCAAGCAGCTTGTTGGTACAGAGGGGGCCTGGTGTGGAGGGCAATATGGGCTGGGTTCTCCAGAGGGTGGAGAAAAGAAGAGAGCTGAAAGGGAGTCACATGGGAAGGGAGAAATCTGAGTGACAGCCGAAGGAGTTGCTAGGATGGTCAGGACATTTAAGTAATTTACACAGAGTCATCCTGCTTGTAAGTGGTGAAGACAACACCAAGGAGCCCCAACAGGTTCCACATTCCTTAATTTTCCAGGGAGGTTCATAAGTGAGGTGGAGGGATGCCAGCTGCAGGGTCAGGGAGGTTACATCAGGCTCCCATCCTAATGACTATCCTTACAGACTATATAGGACCTTGGGCAAGGTCATTGATTGTAGTATATAAAACGGAGGAAACAGCTATCTGGCAGGTTACACTGAGGCTTAAAAAGAAGGTGCCCGTGAGTGGTGGCCACTTCATCTTAGCAATTTGGTACCTCACAGCCAATGCCACTCGGAAGCAAATCTACTACACAGGAGGCAGCCTGATCCCTCTCCTCCAGCCCCCCGGCGGTGATGGCCTGGGAGTGGAGTGGCTGGTTCCTGGCATCCAAGGCAATGGGAGTACAGCAAAAATTACATTCCCAGGTACGGTCTGCCTGTGTGTCTGTCAAACTGTGCGGTTTCCTTTGCTTGGGGTAGGTAGGTGCCTCGGGTCTCTGTTACTGTGGCAATGTGGGTCTATTTAAGCTGCATGCCGGAGACAGGTGGGATAAGGGTGGAGGAAGGGCATATAGTGGGACCAAGAACATGGGCTCCTGGCCTTCAGATTGGGTCCCTTCAGCCCTCAGCCATACAGAGCTGAAGGAGAGAGAGGCAGGCAGAGGCCCAGGGCCAAGTCACCACCCATGCTGATGAGTGCCAGGCACATTTATAAAGCAACCCTCCCACCGGAGCCCAGGACCAACTCAATCTGCTGAGCAGATTGCAGACAGTTCTCCTTTTCCATGGGGGTCCTCATCACCCCTGCACAGCCCCTTTGATAAGGGCCTCTGGCACTTTGTGATAACTTGAACCCAAGACCCCCTTTCCTCTGCTGCTTCTTCCAGACAAAGAAGGCATGGTCCTGCTAAACATTGGTCTCCAGGAAGCTGCAACCGGGGACCCTGTGCCCATCGTCCAGGTCTCAGGAGGCTTTGTCTTGACGCTGGAGTCATGCCTACTGCAGCTCGCCCCGCGCCCTGGACGCTGGGGTGTCCACTTGTACATAGCAGAGCCTACAGCCCTCCGTCCATCCCTGGCCGTGCTGGCCCACCTCTCTTCCCTGGGCCACCTGCCTCGGCCTGTGTGGGTGGGGGCCACACTCTCCTACGGGAGTTTTGAGGTCCCTGGCCACGTGGCTGGCAGGGAGTTTCTTGCAGCTGTGGCTGAGGTTTTCCCCCATGTGACCATGGCCCCAGGCTGGCCTGAGGAGGTGCTGGACAGTGGCTATGGAGAACAGTTGCTCAGGGACATGCTGGAGCTATGTCAGGGACTCCGGCAACCCGTGTCCTTCCAGCTGCAGGCAGGGCTGCTGGGCCAGAGCGTGGCTGGAACTGTGGCAAGACTGTTGGCAGCGTCCCCCCAGGCCACGGTCACGGTGGAGCACAGCCTCACCAGGGACAGCTACGCAGCTGTGCGGGCAGGGCTGCTGGCAGCCAGGGCCATGGACAAAACCCGGGTCTACTACAGACTGCCCCAGGACTTCCGCAAGGACTTGTTGGCGGACATTCACAGAAACTGACCACCCAGGACTGCTGGGCAAGGAGAGCCTGAGGCCAAGGCTTCCTGGGGGGTGTGGGTGGGGGGAACAGGAAGGAATAAATATCTGTTTTCACATGAGCTCTGCATGTGTATCCTTGGGGCAGGATGAAGGTGCCTAGAGGGTCTGGAGGCTGGGGGCCACCAAGTCACTACGGTTGTCCAAGAGGAATTGCTCGCAGGCCTTAAAGGTAGTGTAGAACTCAGAGGAGAGGCCAGCCACATTGGTGGTCACGAGGTTGAGAAAGCCTGTGGTGGCCTGGTTGTAGTAGGACACCTGCAGGGGAGGACAGGACACCACAATCAGGACAAGTAAGGGAGGCATGAAGCAGATGTGGTGCAAATACCCTACCGTCAGCACCCTGGAGCTGTAGACACTGGAGAGAAGGTTACATGATTAGCAAGCATGACCTCCTCCAGACAGTTCCCTGTGTCCCCATTAAGGTGCTGACAATCCTGGCTTCCCTGCCACCCCCTACCACAGTGGAAGACAGGCCTAGAACACAGCATTGAATCCCAATTAAATGAAGGTACTCTGGAATCTCAGTGACAAGTACGACATGAGCCACAACCTCATAGGGATCATTAGCATAGGGATCATTCAGGAAGCATACACTGGCTGAGTCCCTAGAGTCCTTGGCTTAAAAGCACTTGGCTGCTAACTGAAAGGGTAGAAATTTAAGTTCACCCAGAGGCACCTCGGAAGAAAGGTCTGGCAATCTACATTCCAAAAATTAGCCACTGAAAGCCCTATGGACCTCAGTTTTATTCTGACACACATAAGGATGCCATGAGTCAGAGTCCATGAAACGGCAACTGGTTTGGTTGGTTTTTATGACTTCCTGGCTGAGTCTCAGTACTAGACTGGAGGCTGCAGGGCCCTAAGAGAAGCTCTGAGCTGAAGAAGGGGAGCTGCAGTCTCCCCACCCTCTCCTTTTCTCAGCCTCCTCCCTACGTTTTCAATTAACACAGACTGCCCTGCCGAGTTTTATGGATCCTCAGAGTCAGATAAAGTTTATGAATCCTCAGAGCCATATAAAGCCTTCCTAGACAAGAAGGGGGATATATGTAAATAAATAATGCAATGGAATTTTAGATCAGAACCCAGTCTCTTGCCCTCCATGTCCACGGCTTTCTCTAAGACCCCCCAGCAGACTCTGACTTTGCTGCACAAAAGAAATCTTAATTTTTCAGTCTTATTTTCTGCACAAACTGTCAGGGGGAGCCTGCTGGAAGGGGACAGGTCTGAACTGTCTCTGTGTCCATGATGCTGAGCTCAGGACTTACACTTGTGTCCCAGCGGAACCGGGAGGGAGGACGTGGGAGGGGATGCTAGGCCTCACCCTGGTCAGCTGGTCGCCTTCGCACCAGAGGCAGAAGCCTGAGCAGAGGGTCTCCCCGCGCTTGTACTCTGGCGTCTCGCAGTGTGTAGGCAGTGTGACTGACCTCAGCGCAATGACATATGGGTCTCTGGGGTGGCAGAAGGGAAGGGGAGGGTGGTCACAGAAGGTCAGGTTCTGTTCCACTCAGTCAAGAACCAGGCTTGGGAGCCCGCCCTCTGGCATGAACATTCTTCCCAATGGTCTTAAAATACATAGCTTTTAACACCTGGCCCCACCCCGAGAGGTGTTAGCAACCCCAAATTTACCAGGAGCCAGTATGCCTTCACCTTGGGGTTCTTGGAACAGCCCCTCAAAGCAGACACTCAAGGCAAGGGTTGTGTGTGTGGTGGTGGGTGGGAGGCAGGGACTCCCCACGTTTTGGCCTGTCTCTAATGGAAGTGAGTCTATCTGCAATTGCATCCCACCTGTGGCACAGTGGGCACATGGGCTCTCAGCACATGAGAAATACCTGTCCGGGGCCTGGGCAAGCATCCGCCAACACAGAGACATGAGTGAGGACAGTGAAGGGAGCTAGCTGGGGAGGCTGTTCCCATTTTATCCACGGTAAAGCCACGACATTACCAGGGTCTGCCATGGTAGCTGGGGACCCATGGCTTATAGGAAATAGTTCTGTCCCAAAGCTGCTTCCCCCTCTCCTCCCACACATTGTGCCTCAGCAGGCAAGCACCCACCTGTTGTCCCAAGGTTTCCGCCTCGAAGCCAGGATCACAAAGTCCTGGGGCTTGGTGTCACTGCTGAGCGCTGGGCTGATGACATGGTAGATGGCATCATCCTCATCCACCTGCTGCACTAGCTCCACACTCCTGCAGGGAGACCGACCGGGAGCTCAGGGCCCGCTGAGGGGGTCACCTAGCTGTCCCCACCCATGCTTCAGCCTCTCTGAAACTTCATCCCCTGCACTGTTCAGCAGGGACCAGTAGGAGGCAGAAGTCCCAGGCAAGACAGGGATACACACAGTCACGTACACATGTGGACACAGAACAGTCCGAGACATGTGCAGACACGCACGTGGGTGGACACATGTGCACAGACTCAATGATCCACACATGTCTCTACATGCCTGTGCAGGGACACCTGTCCCATGAACTAGTGTGACAACTTAGTCCTTGCACTTACAATTTACTGAGCCAGGCATTATTGGATATGCTTTATATTTAACCTCACATAAATCAAAGGATAACCTCTGATTATCCCCAGTGTAGATGACACAGCTGAGACTAAGGGGCGGGGCTGCCCACGGTCACAGAGCCAGTACGGAAGCACAGCCAGGACTCATGCTCAGGTTGTCAGGTGCCAGAGCTGTACCGCAGGCCCAGGCCTACACACAGGGCATGCACACAGATATGCATGGTCATGCCCAGATTCACTGCCTTCTCCCTTTCTCTTCCACCTGTTCTCAGAGGCTGACTAAGGTGGGGAGCAGCCATCTAATGGCTCCCATTCCCCTTAGGCCAATCCCCAACCAACCCCATCAAGTATCAAGATTTGATCCTGGCCTTCAATGCCCAGATAGGCCCGCCTTTCTACCATATGCAACCTCTGCCTACATCCATCACTAAATCACCTCTCAGGCCCTGGGCTCACCCAGACCAAGATTTTTTGAAGCAATGCAGGTTGTTTTTCAAATAAGCCTTAGGCAGAAAGCCCATGTATATACAGTTCAAAGTGAATCTGTTCTGGTGAAGGCAGATAGATGGGGGTAAGGAGAAGGAGACCAATTTGCCAAATGACCTGTTCACTGAATTTCCAAAAACTCAGCTCCTCCTTATGATGGCATATGATCAAGAGCCAATGATCCTGGAGGAAAAAGTCCAAGGTGCATTGAAGGAATTGGCAAAGAACAAGCCTCCCGGAATTGATGGAATACAAATCGAAATCTTCCAACAAACTGATGCAGCACTGGAGGCTCTCACTAATCTATGCCAAGGCATTTGGAAGACAGCTACCTGGCCAACTGACTGCAAGAGATCCGTGTTTGTGCCCATTCCAAAGAGAGGTGACCCAACAGAATGTGGAAATCATTGGGCAATATCATTAATTTTGCATGCAAGTAAAACCTTGCTAAAGATAATTTTTAAAAGGTTACAAGCATACATTGACACAGAACTTCCAGAGGTTCAAGCTTGATTCAGAAGAGAACTTGGAATGAGGGATATCATTGCTGATGTCAGATGGGTATTGGCTAGAAGCAGAGAATATCAGAAAGATGTTTACCTGTGCTTTATTGACTACACAAAAGCTTTTGACTGTGTGGATCATAACAAGCTATGGACAACATTGCGGAGAATGAGTATTTCAGAACACTTAAATGTGCTCATGAGGAACCTGTACATAGACCAAGAGGTAGTTGTTCAATCAGAACAAGGGAAAACTGAATGATTTAAAATTAAGAAAGGTGTGCGACAGGGTTGTATTCTTTCACCATACTTATTCAATTGTATGCTGAGCAAATAATCTAAGAAAATGGATTATATGAAGAAAAACATAGTTGGAGGAAGGTTCATTAACAACCTGCGATATGAAGATGACAAAACCCTGTTTGCTGAAAGCAAAGAACTCTTAAAACAGGTACTGCTGAAGATCCAAGACTACAGCCTGAATGGTTTAAAATTAGGAAAAGTGTGAGACAGTGTTATATATTTCACCATACTTATCCAATCTGTATGCTGAGCAAATAATTTGAGAAGCTGGATTATATGAAGAAAATGTAGCATCAGAATTGGAGGAAGATTCCAAGTAACAACCTGCAATATGCAAATGATAAACCCTTGCTTGCTGAAAGCGAAGAGGACTTAAAATACTTACTGATGAAGACTGAAGACCACAGCCTTCAGTATGGGTTGCACCTCAATGTAAAGAAACAAGAACCCTCACCACTAGACCAATAAACAACATCCATATAAACGGAGAAAACACTGAAGTTGTCAAAGACTTCATTTTGCTCAGATCAACATCAACACTCATGGAAGCAGCAGTCAAAAAAATCAAACAGCGCATTCCATTAAGGCAAATCTGCTGCACAAGACCTCAAAAGTGCTCAAAAGCAAAGATTTGAGGACTAAGTTTGAGGACTAATGTGCGCCTGACCCAAGCCATGGTATTTTCAATAACCTCATATGCATGTGAAAGTTGGATAATGAATAAGGAAGACTGTTGAAGAATCAATGTGCTTGAGCTAAGGTGTTGGAGGAGAATATTAAATTGTACTACGGACTGTCAAAAGAACAAACCAATCTGTGTTGGAAGAAGTAGAGTCAGAATGCTCCTTGGAGGCCAAGATGGCCAGACTTCATCTCTCATACTTCAGACATATTATCAGAAGGGACCAATCCCTGGAGAAGGATATCATGTTTGGTAAAGTGGAAGGTCGAAGAAGAAAAGGACCCCCAAAGAGATGGATTGGCACAGTGGCAGCAGCAATGGGCTCAAATGTAGCAACGATTGTGAGGTTGGCACAGGACTGGGTAGTGTTTCGTTCTGTTGTGCATAGGGTCGCTATGAGTCAGTACCGACTCGATGACACCTAACAATAGCTACTCCTCATGCATAGGCCCAGAAATATAGTCTCCTTGTGAATAAGCCATTCAAGAAGTGATCTAAGAACACTCAAAAAGTAGGGTGTTGACATAGCAGAAAATGACTTTAAAAGTGATTTGAAAAAAGTATCCATACTAAACACTGTAATGTTGGCAGTTTTCTTAAGAACATGTTTATCTTCCTTGACTAAGTTCAAGAAGATATTCATATGAGGAGTCAGTCAATTTGGGGAACACATGGATTCATAAGAATACATTTCTCTTCATAGTCATTGACTACATTTTTAAATAACACATTTACAAGAAAAATCAGCAAATTTGATAAATTTGGCAAATTGGCCATTCTGTCAATTGTCCCAGAGCTCAGACATGGTCCAGAAGCCCTCTCCATGCCCCCATCCACCAGTAGATCCGGAATTCTACCTTGAGAACTTGGGACTTCACACACCAAGGTCTGAAGAGAACCTTGAACTTAGCTATCTCTAAGTTCAAGTGCAATATCCAGTCTGCAGGGCCCGGCCCTCACCGATAGTGCTTGTCCCACTCGGGCCTCCGGGGCAGGTCGGAGAGCAGCTGGAAGGCCTGGGCTGCATCCACATGCACCACCATTTCCACATGGAAGGAAAGGAACTTGTCGTCCTCCAGGATATAGAGACGCACCTGCATGGGACAGCGGATACCCTCCTTCCTGCACCCCTCCCCGACTATGCTGGGGGATGGGTAGGCTGGCTGGGATGCTGGAGCTTGGAAGGTGGAAGCTTGCTGTGTGACTGTGAACCAGTGACTCAACCTCTCTGAGCCTGAGTTGTAGCCCCATGAAGAATTGAGAGGACTCAGAACAAATGGACAGGAAAATAGGAGCCCTGGTGGTGTGGCACTATGGGTGAAGCACTGGGCTGTTGACCACAAGGCTGACAGTTCTTACCCACTAACTGCTCCATGAGAGAAAGATGAGGCTGTCTAGTGCTGTAAAGACTCTCAGCCTCTGAAACCCTAGGGAGCAGCTCTACTCTGCCCTGTGTTGTTGTTAAGCGCTGGCGAGTCGGTTCCAACCCATATCAATCCTGTATAGGGTTTCTGAGAAGTGACTGGTGAGCTTGAACTGCCAACCTTGAGGTTCAAACCAACTTTGGAGTTCAGCACATTAACCCACAACGCCACACCAGGACTCCAATCTGACCTGTAGGGTTGCTGTGAGACGGAATCAATTCAATGGCAGTGGATTTGGGGGGCTTGGGGAACGGACATCAGGAAATGCCTTGAGAAGCAGCAGCTGAGGCAATTGTGTTATGGCTCCTCAAAGCCAGATACCCGTCCAACCTCCAGTGTCAAAGGTGGGGAATGACTTGCCCAAAGGCCCAGCAAGTCAGAAGATGGGACTGGGTCTTCTCTCAGCAGAAGGAGCAGAGGGAAAGGAGAGCACTGGGCAGAGAGTGGCAGAGATGAGAGAGAGAGATGGGGAGCTAGGGGGTGGGGCCAAAAAGGTAGTAAGCCACCGAGAAAGGACTTTCTGGCTCTCACTCCAGGCCCTATGCAGACTGCTGGATTTCTGTTCCTAGGTTGGTTCCACAATCTGCCCAATTCATTTCCAGAAATCCCAGTTTGAGAGCGTTTCTGTTTGCAATCACTCACTTTTGACCAAGATAAGGGACTCTTCCTGCTCAGGGGAGAAAGGAAAGGTGGGTGGGCTCAACTACCTGGTTGATCTCCAAGGACAGTGTCCAGCTGTCCTTGGCCACAAGCATCTTCAAGGAGGAGACATTGTTGTAGCTCAGATACACCTGGACAGAACACAGAGAGGTTGTTTGCTCTCCCTTCCTCAGGTGGCCCCTGTGCCAACACTGTTCAGGTGTGGGAAGAAGAATCTGCATCCTGATAGGGTGAGGGGAACTCTGGAAAGGGCCCTGGGCTTTGGGAAAGGAGGCTTGGATAGAGTCATTGTATCATTTCTCTGGGAGCCTTGGCTTCCTTCTGCCAAACAGGGGGAATCCAGCAAAGCCCTCGTAACTACAAAGTCACCAGGTTTGCCACGAAGCCCCTGCTTCCATCAGGCCTACCCTCAGCTCACTCTGACTCTGACAAGAAGGAAGGTTGTAAGCTGTGGGCCTTACCTGGTTACTGGGGTCCCAGGGGACAGAGAGGGGCATTTCTGCCTGTTTACAGGATACAATGTACTTCCTGGGAGAGAGGGAAGACGACAACTTTAATCTCTTGGAAGTCCCATCCCTTTCAACAGACTTACTGTAGACCTGTTGTGCATCAAGCCCTGTGACAAGCTCAGCGGTGGGGAGACAGTTTCCTGTCTGGCCAGTAAGCCTTAGGGGAGGCAGTAGCCTGAGACACACAAACCCAGCCCAGAATACCAGCAAGCAGCTCAGAGATGGGAGAAGCTGGGGAGACAGGTGGCAGATGTAAAATTCAGTTCCACTAAATCTTTGCTGTATTGCATTAAGTAAATCTGCTGCACAGGAACTTTTTAAAGTGTTGAAGAGCAAAGATGTCAGCTTGAGGACTAAAGTGTGCCTGACCCAAGCCATGGTATTTTCA